GGGGGGAGGGAGGGGGCTAAGCTTGCAAGCTTTCCTCTGGGCAGGGAAGGGGCTTCCCCAGATGTTGACTGCCTTAATGTGATCTTAGGACCCACTTATTTTTCTGGTGGGCTCTCAGTGTTTTATATTTTTGCCAACAAGTAAGGACTTGTTTGTTTGATTATGCACTTTTCTGACTTAGCCTTTTTTAAATGAGTTGCATTAATGGATTTTAGAGTTTGATTATTTATTACCTTTATTGACTTCCTTGTATTTGTTTTTATTGTAAACTATTTTGATTTTTTTTTAAATGAAAGGTATATAGAAATACTGTAAAATAGATCGATGTAAATAATCAATAAATAATTTTAACATCACCACTACTGGCTGGGGGGGGGGCAGAGGCTAGGAGTTAGATTCCCCCCTGCCCCCGGCCTCCTTGATAGAGGCTGGGCTGGATGATCCGTAGGGTCCCTTCCAGCTTTGCATTTCTAGGATGGTAATGAATACCAAAAGGCACATTTATGAGCTTCCACAGCTACTGCAGCCACACACCCTGATCTACGCTGCAGTGCATTTTAAGGCAAAGGCGGAAGGAAGGAGAAGACCGAAACACGTTATCCTGCCACCTTTCAACAGCTGATATCTTGTTCTGTCCTGGATGAAAGATGGGTCTGTAAAAGCCCAACAGCTTGTTACTTCGGTCTGACTTACAACGTTCGTTCTCTGCTTTGTGTTCCCCTCGCCCTCCGGACCAGAGGAGCAGCTCCCCACCCCACCCCACCCCTGGCCTGCTGGGTGAGTTTTGGTCCATTTCCACACTCCTTTTGGCACGAGCACTAAATGGGTTTGGCATGATCGGTTTTCAAAAAATATCTTGATTAAACCCCTTAAATGCCAGTCTAGTCTTCGAGTCTTGGAGGGCTCTCCCTCACGCTAGGTGTCACATGACCACCGACTGTGGTGTGTGTTTTTTTTGGGGGGGGCAGGGGAGTGAAATTTGCACATGGCATCTGCTTCTTATTTGATGGATGGCTGAAGACCCCCTGAATTGTTTCCTGTGGCAGCCTTTAGGACCAGAGCAAAATGCCAGAGGCACGGGAGGGCTATCAGGAGACAGGTCTTGTGTGCTCCCAGAGGTGAGATCCGGGAAGCTGGACTAGAGGGGCCCTTGGCCTGATCTAGCAGGACTCTGCTTATGTTCTTATGACACCTTTTCTGCACCTAACCAAAGACTGTGTTTTCCCCAGGCAGCTCTCTTGAGCTGCTGCTGTTCTTTGCCTAGGGTGCAACCTCAGTTTAAGCGGCAACTTTCCTGAGGTTTCCCTGTACCTTTCTTCCAAGTCAGACTGAAGCTCTTAAGTCCTGAGAGAAGGCAACAGGAAAGATGCCGCTTAATTAGCAGCTCTTTCTTGACTGAGAGATGGAGAAGAACAAATGAGGTCTCCCCGAGTGGAGAGGTGCTACCTTAAAGGCTGATTCTTAAAGGCTGCAGGTTCCATTTGGCGAGAGCAGTGGAGGGGTGGGTGTCGGTGTTTCTCCCCACTCCCCAATGTCCAGCCTGATGAAGTGTCTTAGGGACCTAGAAAGCTTGCCTTTGAAACGCAGGTCATAAAGTCGTAGAAAGGTAACTTTTTTTTAAACTTCTGACCCCACCATCTAGAAAAGCTGGGATAGAAGGGAGGCATGGATGCAGAGCAGAGGAGAACGGGAGGTCGGTCCTGGAAGACAGGAAGTCATTTTTGAGTCTGGCTGTTTTTCTTGTGGATGTTGGAGAAGGCGGCAATAATTGGGTAACCGCCACTGAGCACGCAGGACTGCACAGAGGGGTCCTGGGCCGAGGGCGGGAGGGCGGGAGGAGGATCTCTCACAGTGTTTAACTGGATTAGCTGGGGCGGGACTCGCCTCAATCAAGGAGGCATCAAAGGCTGCTAATCCCATCAACCTCCCCATGGGCTCAGTGGCTCAGGCGGCAGACGCCGAAAGGCCTTCGGAGGCAGAGCTGTGCCTTTTAGGGCCTCCTTGGGAGGAGAGGCCATCGCCCCTGGCCTATGGGGGAGGCCCCGGCATCTGGGGCCAGACAAAATCGTTTCTTTGGGCCCATATGGAAAAGGGTGCTGAGAGGGACAGCTTGCTCCTTCCAGGATGGCAAAACTTCCTTCTTCCAGAAGGAAGGCAAAGCCCCTCTCCTCTGGACTCAGAAGATCCAAACCTGAGGGACGTGGCCGAGGCTATGCCCGGTGGAGAAGAGGTGCCACGGCATCTGTCCTTTTCCAGGCTGAGAGAGCAGGGGGGCGGCGGTGGGGGGGAGACAGCTAGTCCCCATCTAGGGGTGATCCAAGGGTGTCCTTTGCCCCTTGCCCTTTGGAAAGAACACAGGGCCTCTCCACACGGCATAATATCATCATCAGGGTATGGTCTTAATGTGGTAAGCCGCTTTGGGTCCTCTTGAAAAGGAAGTGGGGTATAAATACTTTAAACCAATTGATCCACAATGAATGGTTGCCCACCACTCATTCCACCCTTTTTTGTCCAAACCCCGCTCCCCCCTCCGCTGCACAGGATGGAATGGCAGCTTTGCCACATGCTCTCGGTGGCTCTGCCACAGGGAACAGGAGGAGCCGGCTTTTGCCTCTAGCAGGGGTTAAAGGTCAGGGTGGGAAGGGGGCCGCTGGCTGGGTGGCAGCAGCTCCCATTTCAGCCGTATTGGCTGAGGATGCCAAAAAAATTTTTTTGGGGGGGAATGACCACAGGGTAGCCAAGGGCTCCCACAGTCTCTCTCTCTCTCTCCAGACTAGCAGAATGGGCAGTCTGTGTGTTTGTGCACGCACACTCATATGTGCATGTGGCTATGGTGCAGTTGGAAAAGGGATTACAGAGATGCCGATGGGGCTGGGAAAAGGACTCCTCCCCCCTAGAGGGTCCATAGCGGGGTCAACTGATGGCATGGGCTCCTGCTGGGTAGCCGCTCCACAGGAACAGAACTGCCTTGGCTGCCACATGGGCGGTATATAAATCAAATAAATCAATAAATCAACCTGGCACCATGTGAAAGGCAGGAACAGTGAAGAAAAGGATAAAAAAATTGAAACTGCTAATCTCATGTCTTCATATAAATCCTTGGTGCTATCTGGAACACTGGTCAGAATCCTGTTGCTTATTCTTAGTGGCATAGCTCAGATAGCCTAAATCATGGGATAAATGTTGTCACACATCCGTCATAGGACTTGCCACGTGACAGGGAATATGTACAGCCTTTGATTCCTCGGAAGTGCACAGCCCTGCTGGGAAGTTCCAGCTTCCAAGCCCTGCCACCGGGCCTGGGGAGCCGCTGCAGCAAAAGCACCCAGCTGGCCAGCCACACGGGGGCCTGGCGGCTCTCCAGCTGCCCGCTGGGCACCCTGCTCCCTGGCTTTGGAATGTGCTGCCCCAAGGAGCCGGCTTGCCCCACCCCTCCTGCCCTTCCTTAGCCTGGCACAGACCTTCCTCTTCCAGCAGGCCTTTAAGCAGCCCGGGGTCTCGGGAACATTCTGTTTCTGAAATGTAGATATATTTTTAAAATGTTTTCATTTTTTCCAAGTTTTTTTAAAAAAACTTGACTAGTGTTTAATTGCTTTTTGATGTACTGTATAGTTTTGTATAGTATTTTTAGCGTGTTCTTATCATATGATTTTAATTGTGAGTTTACCGTGCAGGGCTTCTGGTCATAAATAGTCTATCTTAACATTTTTAAATTCTTTTAATTTTGTCCACATTTCATATAGGTCCATCATTCTAAACTGTGCAGGGCTTGTCTACACTGACTTCCAGCCAGGGCTCTCTATTAGACCACCCACGCCAAACGCCACAAGAGAGAGAGAGAGAGAGAGAGAGAGAGAGATGAGTGGCGATGCTAAAGGGGAAGCCAAGCTCCCTTCCACGGAGCCCCCCCTCCCTCGGCCCTCCTCCAGCCTGGGCAGGTACCTGGGGC